GTCAGATCGGCCAGGAGCCCCTGTCACCTGGACCGGGAGCCCATGTCAGATCGGCCAGGAGCCCCTGTCACCTGGACCGGGAGCCCATGTCAGATCAGCCAGGAGTCCCTGACACCTGGACCGGGAGCCCATGTCAGATCGGCCAGGAGCCCCTGTCACCTGGACCGGGAGCCCATGTCAGATCGGCCAGGAGCCCCTGTCACCTGGACCGGGAGCCCATGCAAGATCGGCCAGGTGCCCCTGTCACCTGGACCGGGAGCCCATGTCAGATCGGCCAGGTGCCCCTGTCACCTGGACCGGGAGCCCCGTCACCTGGCACGGGAGCTAATGTCACCTGGACTGGGAGTCCTCTCACCTGAACTGGGAGCCATTGTCTCCGGTGTTGGGAGCCCTCTCAACAGGACTGGGAGCCCTCCCGCCAGGACTGGGAGTCCTCTCATCTAAACTGGGAGCCATTATCTCCAGTGTTGGGAGCCCTCTCGCCAGGACTGGGAGCCCTGTCACCCGGACTGGGGGCCCCTATCCTTTCCCAGTGATGCGGCCGCCTTCGGTCATTGTCTTGCTGCACTTCCAGCGGCGGTCACTGGTCTCTGTTCTTTAATTTCTATGCTGACTGCTCGACCTTACCTTGAGCAGGCTCTGGCATCCATGCCTAATATGGGAAGGAGGCCGAGCCCATCGCCATATTAAAACAATAGCTTCATCACACCACTCGGAAAGTCATCACGAGCCATAAAGGTATACTGCTCTGGCATCCATGCCTAATATGGGAAGGAAACCGAGCCCATCGCCATATTAAAACAATAGCTTCATCACATCACATCATCACATCACACTTCATCACTCGACCAAACGATAGCTTCATCACACCACTCAGAAAGTCATCACGAGCCATAAAGGTATACCGCTTTGGAACCAGGTGGTAACCGCCATACATACACCGACTTACCGCGGCAGCCGTATCCGTTCTGCATCCGTTCAAAACACGCCAAAGGCGAAAGAATCCACCTGAAGGCCTCCCAGACGCCATCAAATTCCAAGTCCGTCATCACCAGCGCAGTTCCAGGGGCAAAAACGGCTGGCCCAGCGCCGGTCGCCTCACAGCGCCGCTGCATGATAACATCACATCAGCCGGCCGGCCCCGGACGGCCCGGCCAACGACTCCAAATTGCCGTGGCCACGTGATCACCCTTGATGGCCGACGGCCGACGCGGGCGCGTATGGCATTCGTGTGCCTCCAGCTGCTCGTGAGATGTCGTGGAGCGACTCCGTTACGTTTCGAAATCTACTGGTGGGCTCACAATGTTCGCCTATTAGGTCACGCTTCGGTGTGTCGAGATGTTTGTGCATGCAGCAACGATTATAATGAGGTGACGTGCGAGCTGCGCTGCCAGCCGTTAAGCGTTTGCTGCGACACATCGTTGAATTCATTCTGAGACATCTCCTTAAAGGCTTGGAGGAGTCATCAACCAGCCATATGCGTCTTTCAGGCCCAAATGTTGCACGATTGCAGCAGAGTTCCAAATTAGCATGCCACGGGAGTCCCATTGTGCCCATGCACCCATTCGCCTTTCTACGCTGCACTTGTTCTTTTAGCCGAGTCAGGCAGTGCCGATAGCCAGCTACAGCTGCTGCCCATCTGCAGCAGCAGCCGATGCCGGGGGAGGTGGGACCCGCTCATGGCTGCAAGGGGGAGGGGGCAAGTTCTTTTTGAAGTCGCTTCTCATCCCATTTTCATGCGGCGTCATAGGTTTAATGCTAAATTTTACCAAAGTCGGGGGTTCGCCCTGTCTCTCTCCCTCATCCCCCGCCCATAGCAAACGCGTACTGAAGCCTCCATGGCCGTGGCCATCGCGGTGGTCGGCACGTGGTGCGCCGTTGCTGCCAGCGGCCGGAGAGGACATGTCGCCCCAGTTGGCATGGACGAGCGGAACGCATTTAGGATGCACGGCGTCCAGAGGGCGTCATAGTCGCCATGCTGAATTCGTTGGGCTCTGTCCGTCTCTACTCCGAATGCAGAGCCATGCCCAGCAAGTTCATTAATATCCCTTACGCCCCATTAGCTGCCTTGCACACTTACATTCCAGCCCCCGGCCTTTCCCCATCCTTGTTTCAAGACGCCACAGTTATCATTTCATCGCCATTCGCACATGGATAGGCACGTATATGTAAATGTGCTACTGCATGCAATACAGTGAGGTCGGCGGGAGCGGCTGTGCTCCGAACAGGGTCAGTCGGTGCTGCGGTGCTCCTCGCGAGCCGGCCGGTGTCGCGCCGCTGGCCGGCCTCTGACGGATTAGGCCGGGCGCGCGGCGCGGCCGGCCGCGGCCATCGTGTCGGCCCGTCTGTCGTACACGTAGCGGCCGACACGACATACGACCGCACACGACGCCTGCACTTCGCGCCCATTTGCACACAATCAGCTGAGCCGGTGTAATTGCGGCGTTAGCGGCGCGGCGGCGGCGGCGGCGGCGGCGGCGGCGGGTGGGACCGGCTCGCTAGAGCTGGGCTCAGCGCACTGGCCGCGTTTCCCGGTACCCCGCCGACGGGGCCGAGCCGGCGGAGAGACCCTCTCAGGCCAGCGTCAGCGATAGCCAGCGCTCCCCCCTGCGTGATCTCCCTGGTACGCGCGACATTCCTCCTTCCTGTCTGACCTCCTTGGTGCGCTCCACAGAGGCTGAGCCGCCCGCGCAGCCTCCGAGGACACGCATGGCGCTGGCTGCTGTCTCGGTACATTGAAATATCGCGACACGTTTGCCAAAACACCGGACCGTACTTCGACATGATGAATGGGAAGGCAAAGGCCTTCCCCAGTCGCCGGAAAACCTTGCGATCGTGAAACTTCGCATTCCTAGTGGGATTGATGCCGAGGCGAAGGAACATATTCAAGAGTTCGGGTGAGCTGTTTCTCGGGTGGCACGGATGAGTCGAGTAGATTCAACTGTGGGCCAAGAGAAACGCTTTGTTTATTTATGAAACCGGAATATTATCTTAATAGCAACAGGCTTCACATATCAAGAGCGGTCAGATTCACCCATTTGCTCCTCCCCTACCGGGTAGCCGGTCTCGTTACCCCGGTGAAAGTTAAAAAAGTCCTGCAAACAATGCAGGGTGCAGGGTTTGCAGGACTTCAGTTTTGCAAAATGAGTCAGGGAGGGGGGAGGGCTGAGCAGAGAAAAATGACACAATATTTGCTCAAAATGTATCAGCAAACCCTTCCAGACTTTGTTTACTTTCTTCTCACAGTTGGTGGTGGAACCCAAGCACCCCAAAACGGAGGAGGAAGCTACTCAGACCATACAATGTATATTTGACACCGGCAAATAGTTTTAATGGTTTTAAGACATTCATTGCTAACTCATCCTTCCACGTAGCCTGCTAACCAGGTCGAGTTGTCTACAACACCTTCTAGATATCATACCACCAGCACCCAATTATCCCCGCCTCCCCTGCCCCTCCCCCTGCGCCCAAGGTCCTTCCCAGGTCCCCCCGCCCTGCCAGGTCACCTCCTCTACCTGCTGTTCGTCTGCGCTCCTTGCTGCGCCGAGCAGTGGCGCAGCGGCGCAGCGGCGCAGCAGACGTCCTGCTGCAGCGGCGCAGCAGCCTGTTTACCAGCCGTGCAACACGCCAGCGGTATGGAATGCCAGTGTTGTGACGGCGGATGATTGGCGGGAATGCGCGTGTCGGACATATGTAAGCTGATCGCAGGGCGGCTGTAGCCGTGATCAACACGCGACGTCGGCCTCTTGTTGTTCGCATCATCCCTGTGCCCCTGCACGGCGTGGGAGCTACGCGTGAGCCGATGCGTGGCAGCACGCCGGTGTGGAAGTGAGTTGCAGATCACGGTGCTTGCGTCTGTCATTCAGTATGGCCGTCATAATGCGGCCCGACGTGAGCTTGCAGACGACGAGCGAGACGCGATCTTACGACACATGATATATTAAACGAACACACGACATGTACACACATCAAAGGTTCTAACGTCAACACAAACGATAGCTGTGTTTCTCATAATCATTCTGGCATCATATATCACGAGGCGGGCTTCTTGTACAATGCAAACGTTGGGCGCTCTACGTCGCTGCTCTGCTCTGAAAGCGTGGGGGTAGCCCAGCGCAACTGACTATCGCTACACGAGTGCAGATGAACCTTAGGAACACTTACTCCGGCGAAGGGGCGGTCTGGGAGCCAAGGAGCCAAATCAACAGCGAACAGTCAATGAACGTGGTTTGAACACATGTACAAGATGAGATAGACAGGGGGTAAAGGTAGGAGCGACCGAGAAACGCGGCCCAAATTCGCTGAACCTGCGAGACAAAAGGCAAGTCAAAGAAAGACGAGGAAAAGAGCGAGGATTGAATAAGCACAACAGAGGCAACGATCATGAAGGCAATAGAGGAAGGGCGAGTGGAAGATGGGCAGCGCGGGTCGAGCGCAAACAGCCGCCACCGGGGCGGGTCAACTGACACAGTCTCCGCTCTAATCGGCCAGCGTGGGCGGGCCGGGTCCCCCGACGCCGACCGGGCCGACCGCAATAAATACACACAACACTGTACAGCAGCGGGGCAGACGGCTGAGGGGTGACGCTGCCGCGGAGGCCGAGAGCTCGGCGCCGGCGGCGGCGGCGGCGAGTGGCCGGGCCGGGGCCGGAGCTGAGATCTGCCCCGCGGGGCGACCGCCGGAGCGTCGCAGTCCCTTCCCCTCCTCTTCACGACAGCGCCGTCGACGGCAGGCGGCTCCGGGGCGGCTCCGGCCGGGGACCTGCCGCTCCCGCTCACCTCCGGCCGGAGACCTGCCGCTCCGGCTCAGCTCCGGGGCGACTCCGGCTGGAGACCTGCCGCTCCGGCTCAGCTCCAGGGCGGCTCCGGTCGGAGACCTGTCGCCCCGGCTCAGCTCCAGCGTGCCCCATGGCACCAGAGGCCGGCGGTGGTCGCCGCTCGGGCGCAGGTGCGGCCGCGGGGCAGTGATGCGCGCCGCGGGGCGCCTGGGGCGCCCGAGGCGCGGCGCCCCCTCGGGAGCGGTTCGTCGGCGCCCGGGCGCCAGCACACGGCTGTATCACAGATAGGGGCGTCTTTGGTTTGTCGGCTGCCAGCCCAGAACGCTTTGCCCACAGCCTGTAACAGCGGAAACGGCTCGTTGTAGGCGGAGCGGCGGGAAGGCGGGGACGATTGCTGACGTTTAGACTGCGCATAAATTGACGGGATGGCGAGCGTTAATGACGGACTCGGGCGAGCTCATGCATGAGCAGTGCCGGCATGGGCCCTGACTGCAATGCGAGACGGACGAGCTATTACCAGATGCACCGCCAACCACACTAGTCAAAAGAAGTAAAAAATGCAGCCACGACTTTTGAGCCAGATTACGACTCAGTTCAGTCGCGACATCATACGGTAGATGACCCAGCCAGCGGCAATGACGCTAGGGCTTCGGAGGAAATTCAGAGTCAGTGTCCTGCCGAAAATAAAATAAAATTGTCCCGACCCGCTGAGACCAATTCCCAGTGAGTACTTACGTTGTTTATAAACTAGATTTGCACATTTTCAGAATTTCCTCTTCTTCCTCGACGGCAATGGTGGCGTGGTTATACAGACCCTGGGCCATGAGGCGCCGGGCCAGCACCGGTTTCTGACCAGAGCTCTTCTTGATCTTGGCGCGCTTGTTCTGGAACCAGATCTTGATCTGCGACTCGTTGAGGCCGAGCTGGCGCGCCAGGTCCTGGCGCCGCTTCTCCGAGAGGTAGCGGTTCTCGTCGAACTCGCGCTTCAGCAGGTCCAGCTGCTCGGAGGTGAAGGCGGTGCGCGGCCGCTTCTCCTCACTCGACTTGGGCTTCTTGGTGCGCCGCGACCGGGGCCCTGCAGGGACGGTTTGGGTCAGTGGGCCCGGCAGAAGACAGAGCGGGTCAGTGGGCCCGGCAGAAGACAGGGCGGATCAGCGGGGCCGGCAGAAGACAGGGCGGATCAGCGGGGCCGGCTGAAGACGGGGACAGTCAGCAGGGCTTTTGAAGACGGGGTAGGTGGCGGCTATTCGAACACGAGGCGAGTCAGTGGCAGTCATCTGAAGACTGCTCGGATCAACGGCGGTCCGGGTCCGGGTCAGGCGGCGGTCCGGCGGTCCGGGTCCGGGTCAGCGGCGGTCCGGGTCCGGGTCAGCGGTGGTCCGGGTCCGGGTCAGCGGCGGTCCGGGTCCGGGTCAGCGGCGGTCCGGGTCCGAGTCAGCGGCGGTCCGGGTCCGGGTCAGCGGTGATCCGGGTCCGGGTCAGCGGTGGTCCGGGTCCGGGTCAGCGCTGGTCCGGGTCCGGGTCACCGGCGGTCCGGGTCCGGGTCACCGGCGGTCCGGGTCTGTCCGGGTCCGGCACGGGTCATCCCCCATCTGAGCTGGAACATCCCAGCGCCGCATGCCCCGTGAAATTCGGATTCGTGAAGCCATAGCGTCCTCGAGGAGGCGGGATCGGGTCTTTAACGGCCTATGGAGACAAGACCCAAGGACGCGGACAGCGGTCTGGAACGTCCCTCCGATAGTCATGAGACAACTCTGGAGGCAAATAGCTCAGTCCCCTAACGTGTTCGGCGAATCAAAGGCCATAATGTGACACTATTGCTGTCATGGAACGGCTCAATCCGTAGAAAAACAGTTCGTTACACGACATAAGCTGGCCTCCGTAAAACCTCTCCGCCAGGGCGGCATAAAACCTCTCCGCCAGGGCGGCACAGTGCCTGCCGGCGCGAGCCCGTGACATCTTAATCCTATCTTCTGTGAAATGGAATATTTTCGGGCTTACAAAAGATGTTTTGTAACCCAGCCGCTGCATTGTGTGGCCCGTCCGTGTGCGGCACGCTACACACGGCGTGCGCGTGTTTTTACAGCCGCACGTCCCGAGTAACAGCGGTCCGGCCGGCCCCGGCATGGTCCAGCCGGCCGCGGCCTGGTCCAGCCGGGTGCGGCCGGGTCCGCTCGGGTCCGGCCGCCGGCGCCGACTCGCAGCCGTGTCCGATCGGGGGCCGGTAAGGTCTGACGGCCGGTTCTCTCGGCCGCGCCGGCGGGGGGCGTCGCGGCCGGATGTGCGGGGTTCGGCGCGGCGGCGGCCGGCCAGCTGAGAGACGGACCGCCGCCGCCGCCGCTGCCGCCGCCGCCGCGCCGGATGTGTGGGGTTCGGCGCGGCCGGCGGCCGGCCAGCTGAGAGACGGACCGCCGCCGCCGCCGCCGCCGCCGCCGCCGCGGGTATTAATGAACCCATCGTGCAACACCGGCGGCCGGGCTCTATTAGCCGCGTCAAGCCGTGATAAACGGGCCACCACCCGGGCGGCAGCGGCGGCGGCGGCGGCGCACCGCCCACCGCCGCCGCCGCCGCCGCCGGGGGCGGAGGCGGCGCCGCCGGGTCGATGGTAGCGTGTCGCGCGCCCGTCGATCGCGCCCCGGGCCGCTATCTGAGCTGGCAGCTGTCGTAACATGGCGCACTTGAAAGGCGCGCGCTCGCATACCACGCGCCGCGTCAATGGCTCGCTCTGGCCACGGAAGAGGCGCGGGCGGGCGCGGGTCCATAGCCGGACGTGGCCTGCCGTCCGGTACGGCCAGGGAGTACGCGATATGGCCAGTCAGCAGCCGGCGGTCACTGCAGGGACGGTCCTGTGGAGCACCTCCCCTAGCCAGGCACGACCTGTGACCACCACAGGTCACGTGACAGACGTGGCCCACACCAGACGAGGTCCGCGAGAGGCCAGACCCGGCCTGCGAGAGGCCAGACCTGGCCTGTGGCCTGGTCGGCGGGAGTCTGCAGGAACCCTAGTCGGACAGCGCAGCCCGCGCCCGCCGGCCAGGCACGAGCCGCTCATGCTCCGGCAGCCTGGGGCGGGCCGACCCGGCGGCGGTGGCGGCGGCGGCCGATCGCAGGCCGGTAATACCGCCGATCCGCCGACCACCGTTTATTAATTGCCGGCGCCCATCAGATAGGAGCGCCGACGGAGGTTGCCGACCCGCGTCTTTATTACGTCCGGCGCCGGACAGGAGAGGACTGGGCAGGACAGGCTAGGGCAGGACAGGGCCGGACAGGGCCGGACGGCACGCGGCCGGAGACGCTGGCTGGAGTGCGTCGCCCTGGCGCAGGGCCGGGTGATGCGCGTTGCGCCGCCCGCGCCAGCTTCCGACGCACGTGTGGTCGGCCAGACATCCAGCATTGTCACACCGCGGCCGTGGCAACGGCTCCCAATAGCACGGCTGGTGTGCGGTTCCCGGCCGCCGGCCGGGGCCGCGCAGCTCAACCCCAGATCGGCAATCGCCGCGCCCTCTGACGCAATGATTTATGCGCGCGCAGGCGCGGAGGCGATTCGACGCCCCTTCGCGCGGTTTCAGCGCGTCCATAAATCGGCTGGCGCGCGCCGGCGGGGGCCGCGGTGCTGGCGCCGCCCCTGCCAGCGGTGACGGGTCGACCGCCCATGCACGGGCCGACAAAAACGCCGGCGTCGACATGGGCCGGCGGCGCGCGCCGACCGCGCCGCCCGGTGGTCCACCACGGTAGCGGCGGCAGCGGGCGGCGGCGGGACCTCCCAGCAGCGGCCGGCGGCTCGGCGGCCGGCGGGCTGGACGGCCCTCCGCCAGCGGCCGGCCGCGGCGGCCGCCGTGCCCGCCTGACGGCGCTGTGACGGCTGTGACGGCGCTGTAACGGCGCTGTGACCCGCCTCGATAGGCCGGGTGCGACCCTCACGCGGCGGCGAAGCGGACTCGATAGTGGCGCGGTGTGTCGTGAGCGCCGCAGATAGCGGCGCAGTGCGCTCGTGTCCGCCCGCCACGCCGCCGCCGCAGGCTCCGGTCGTGTTCTCATTCAGCGGGCGTCAACAACTGGCTCGGTCACACGCAAAAACTGCCAGCCGCGCCGCCAAGATTAATTCGCACCGGCCCGCCGAATGGAATAGATTAATACCGGCGACATGCGTCTGACGGCCGCGGCCGCTGCCGGCGCGGTGACCGCTTTCAGACGGCTCTAATTGATAGCGCGGCCTCTTGCGGTCTGCACTGCGAATTATTCGGCATAAAGAACATCGAGATAATTGCGCCATTTCCGCGTGCAGTGTGCATTACAATGGGCGCGCGACTGCCGGGACGCGTGGCCCGGGCCGGGTGGTCCCGCCGAAAAACCGGGCGGCGGCGGCGGGAGGCCCGGCGGCCACCTGGTGACCTCTGCGGACGCCGTCTGTTGCCTCTGTCGCGACGCACGAGCGTGCGCGCACCTCCGCTGCCAGGTAAACAACGCCGCCCGTCGCCCGCCCCGAAGCTGCCGCTGCTGCTGCCGCTTTCCGCTCTCGCTGGCGCAGCGTGGGGCGCCGGCGGGGGTCGGCAGACGGGCGCCGCCGCCCCGGAGCCCGATCTGCCGGCGCCGGGCGGTGAATCGAGCGAGATAGCGGAGAATTCATCAGCGGGATGGGCTCCATCGCCTCACCCCTCTGGCCGTCTCAATTTTACGCTATTAATTCCGGGTTATTTGACTTCGCTATTGTTTTCCAGCCTGGCGAATGTAAATTTCGTCCAATTCCAGTCTCAACTATGCTGAATGTGTCAATTTCGCGACGATTGGAATGCAGGGGCGAGGGGCCATAGAGTTTGGCACGTCGCGATTCGGATGCCATTCCCCGGCTCCGCCTGGTAGACTGTCACGACGTGTCTATCGGACGCAGCAGGCAGCGTGAGCGGACAGTGCACGCTGCAATATTTAGAATGCCATCCAGCAACTGTTGAGATATTGTATCGATGCATGCCGCAAGAACGATAGCATGATGCTGACCTGACACTCTGTACTTCTCATGGCCCGCTAGATTTTCTGATCCCTCACGAGTCTTTTACCGCGCCGGCGTCAATCCGTCACTACAACTATCTCCTACACCGATCACGGCTCCCTCTCTGTTCATTTGGACAACAGCACGCTCTTACTTTGTATGTATTCTCAGTCGGCACCGCCACCCCTTTTCTATACGCACCTGTGCTACCGTCTTCCTGCTCGTGTTTGGCGGCCCATCTCCCGCTCTGTCTACCCATCTCCGGCTCAGCCCTCCCGCTCCGCTCTGCCCACACCCCGCTCTGCCGGGCCATTGGGGCCGTCGGGAGCGCCCTGTCATAAATTGGCGGCGCCGACCGATGCTGGTGGTATTTAGTCCAGATTTATTACAGCCGACAGCGGGGGCAATTCTCACACGTGATACACTGACCGGCGGTATCACTAGCCTAGCATAATACAACCCGAGCCGGGAGACTGCTCCTCCCCCTCTCTCTTTCTCTCTCCCCTCTCTCTCTCTCTCTGTCGCTCTCTCTCCCTCTCTCTTCCTCCCTCATTTTTCTATCTCCAACACGCACATGCATCGAACGACACAGAGCCAGATGCCCGAAGAACGTCGCCACACTCCGGGGACCGATAAATGGACGGTAACTGCGAGTTTTTCCTGAACCGAATGGTAGCTCATGGTATTTAGGCTTTGTGAAATGATACACAGCAGCGTCAATTTAAATATTTGGGCTTACTTTCACTAGAGGCATCTTGATTGACTTCCACATTACACATCGCCGGCTCTAAGCATCATGCAAAGGGACGATTTTTCCTTCCAGAAACCTAGCCCTCTTGGCTTTGAGGTTCGCCGAAACACGGCTTAAGTCCGGACCACGGCTTAAGTCCGGACCACGGCTTAAGTCCGGACCACGGCTTAAGTCCGGACCGCGGCTTAAGTCCGGACCACGGCTTAAGTCCGGACCACGGCTTAAGTCCGGACCACGCACTGCGCTTCCGATGCCCGGCGGCGTTTTCACGATGACCTGCTTGCTAGTCCTCAATTTAGCTTTATTAGCACCCGGGACTGCTGCAACGACCGCGGGC